AAGTTCTTATCACCTAGGTGGTCACTAAATGTTCTGACTTCCCTTTGAACCAATTAATGAGCCTCAGTGAATTCACTGGTATTTGGAAGCCTGTGAGTTTTCAAGTAGGCTCCAACACGCTTGCTCAGAAGCTGGTCATCTTCCTTCACTGCATGTTTAATTCTTGCTTGTGCTATCTTTCCTTGTTTCCTCTGTCTGTTCCCTGGCCTCTACAAATTCAGCACAGGCTTAAATCAATTGGGGCAGAAGATTCTTACAGATACGAGAAATAGCCCATTTTAAAAATCTCTATTACAGAGTGACACTCCCCAAATTCTCAAGGTCCAGGGAATTCTGGTAAGTCAGCATATCTCCAGAGAACCTAGTTTGACCAAGATACTTACTGGACCTTATACCTCTCTCAGAGCTCTTCAAAAGCTGCCAGACATGAGAGTGCCATTTCCTAACAATCTGGTCCCCTAGGGAGTTGTCTGGAAATCTGCAGCCACTGTAGAGTACCACTGTTAGTGACAGAAGCAGACCAGACAACTTTCTTATTTTCCAGAAAAAGAAGTACTGTTTTATCTGGCATAAGATTGTTAATTAATAAATAAACCCAGATATGAATTTCTCCCTCAGTGTTACTTAGCTATTTCTGATAGTTCTTACCTTTCCTCTAAACCTATAAACCACAACATACAGATCATTTTATTTTATTTTTTGGCAGACTAAAATCTAGCCTTAAATTTTCCACCCTCAAACTTTAATGAAAATGTAGATATTTTGGCAAATTTAAGTTTTGAGCAAATTATTCCTAGAAGAGATTGAAAGTCATTTCAGCTGTTTTTTGCTATATTTTCTCTTTAAAAGCAAGAGCACTTATTGTTACCATTTTAAGAGATGTAATACCGAGGTCCTTTATAGTTTTACTGTTTAACATTTTGGTAAATGTTTGTTTACTCATTACATTTACATTATTCTTTCTGTAATGTATCTTGTTTCGATTGTGCAATATCACTTTCTTCAGTTTATTTTCAAGTATAATGATAAACTGCATTAATATCCCATCTGGCAGCAAGAATGTCTTAGAAGCCAGTTTAGGTAATTTTGTGATCTAAAAATAAGTTAACAGTAGATTAAATTGTATTATATCATCTTACGAGTTAATTAATAGCTATTTCAAGAATACTTTTTCTATAATTTTGAACCTAACATTCTCCACAGTATTACATTTTATTAACTGTAGAGAAGAGGAACTAGTAACTTGGGAAAATAATATAAAATAAAATTAAAACTATTAATTCCCAAGTTGTTTAGAAGAAAATTATGTATAATTGAGACTGAACATCTGTGTATAAAGTATTGCACCACAAAGGAATTGGAAACTTGATAGAAAAAAACAAAAAAAGACTTTGCTGTGGATAGTGCCATCCATTTTCTACTCTTCCTTTTTTTCTTCTCTTTTTTTTTTCTTTTTGGTGGGAGGAGGCAATCTGTTAAAATTTCAAGGCGTTATTAATTTCCATAACCAATGTATAAGTAAGTTAACTATGTTTTAAAGCATGAAATATTTTTATAACTGCTTATACTGAGTTACAGTATTGATTTGATCAGATGGTAAAAATAAAAAATAATGAAATCGATTTTCTCTCTTAAATTACATAATATGATTTTTTATTTAACTTTAGTTAATATTGTTAATGTAACCTAATCACCAAATACAGTGTATTCAGAACCTGTTTTTATATTACAAGCTATAGTAGGAGCTCATAGGGATCTTTAAATATGAGGTTATTGAGCACATCTCATATATTGGCACCTGCTACTTAATTAAGGTATTAACGATTACTGATGGTATGCTGAAATTACATGGAATAAGACTATTTCTGTGGTTGTCCCTTTGTTGGCTCTGAATTATTTTTTTCTTCTACATTCCATTTCTGCTGTCATTTCTAATAGCTCTTCCTCACCACCATGTCCTAAAACATAATGTAGGGGCCATGATTACATCTTAATGTTTGTCCATACTAATGACTGTCCACTTACAAATTTTAATACAGGGTTAAGAAAGTAGTTTTTGAACATTAATGAAGCTGTCTACACATTTGCATTAAAATGTAATACATGTTAAACACAAAATCTGCAATATAATTTTTCTTTCCTGACAGAATAGAACAAATTTTGAATACTCTTTGGGTGGGAGAGTATTTAGAGAGTGGTTACTATCCCACATCTTGAACTATGAAATATGAAAGTCAAGAATTTTTTCTCATAACTAGAAAATTCCACCGGGGTTCCTGCTCCTCAGGTCTCCATTCTGATTATAATTAGAGAATGTTAAAAAAAAATGTTTAATTTCATGATTGGGCTTATTATTACTGTGCATATTTTTATTTTATTCTCTGGGGGTGGGCGGATGAGGGGGACATACACATTTAGTGAGAGCTAGTCATTAGCCACCATTCAAGAAGAAGTTAGACTTAAAAAAATCTATCAAAAATTCTCTGGTGAGCCTTTTATTACTATCTTGTCTTGAGCCCTTTTTTTTTTAATGACATCTATTATCAGATTGAAATGGCGATTGAGACGCTGCAAAAGTCTGACGGTCTGTCCACTCACAGAAGCTCTCTTCTCAACAGCCATGTAAGTTGCCTCTTCATGTAAACTAATCTCTTGCTTGTTCTGCATGTGTTGCTTGCTTCTCAATGCTTGTTTTATTTATTTACTGATTTATTTTGCTTCTTAACCTTCCTTTCTCAGCCCTTTATGATCTCTGTATCACTTAATGGCAATTTTGTACAGTGGAATATCTGAAACAGAGCCCCAGTGTACTGCTTTACTTGGTGTTTGTACTGTTTTGGTACAAATATAACATTTTTAAGTTAGTAAAAAGCTGCTGTTTATTTGAAAGAGTCATTGATGGGAATTTTTAAACATTTAGAAATTTCTAGTTTGAAATTTATTTACTATGAAGCAAATACTTATAATCTGCATCTCTATGTCTGAGACAGAGAAATGGTTGTCTAGTTTTATGTATAGTAATATTCCTTAAGTAGAAAAAAGATTATTAATGCCAAACCCAATGGTAAGCTGTTTGAAAATGATTCATTTTTCAGTAAGACTACATAAGATGTGTAGGAAACAGCTATGTTGGGCCTAAGACCCAAAGAAAAAGGAAACTGAGCCAAAAGAAGTGAGGCTATAGATAAGCCATAAATTGCCAGTAATTGAGATAAAACAGGAATACTGTTGCTATTTCTTAAAGATTTTAACTGTTATCAGATGCAACATCACTATAACACTGGTAAGTGTAAGAAGAGTGATGACAGTTTTGTGGAACTAAACATTTTCATCGAATGTTCAAATTATGGGGAACCAATGAAAATGCGGATTAAAAATTGTTTTGTTGCCATGGTTTCTGAATATATGGGGAAAAGTAAATAGACCTATGAATTAAATATATTTTAGATAGATCTGCTAAATTTATATCATTCGCAATATAGTAAGAATTAGTTTTCCCTCCCAACGATACTATGTACATTCTTAAATTTAGAGATAAATTATTACAATTTTAAAAAATTCTTCCCTATATTTTGTGTCTGAAAAGAATTGAAAATTGGATTATCCAAATGAAATGAAATATCATTTTTTTTCAATAAACTGAAAGCCTTTGTCTCATAGAAAATGTTTCACTATGCTTTTTAAAGATTTGAATTTTAAGACATTTGAATTTATATTCCAACATACCACTAAATACTGTTTTTGTATACATTTGTTTTTAGATGAAGTATTTTGTCTTGTTTATTTTTCAAGGGGCAGTATCATGGCAAATAAAAACTGGTTTGTCAACTTGGAGAGAATGCCTCTGCAATTTTGGTGAAAATGATACATACAAATTTTAAAATAACATATTTTGGCCCTTCTTTTTGAAACACTTTAAGGAATGTGATTTTTTTTTTCCTCTCTGAAAATTTGTATGCAATGTGTCACTCTTTTATATGTTTTCATAAGTATATCCGCGTTGTGTTAGCATGAGTCTGTGGTTGTGTGTAATTGCTGACTTACTGTATATTATCAGGGTTTATGTTTGTGGGAGGGGGTCATGACTAACTGGTACTGTATTTTGAAAATGGCAAGTGAAACTGTTGTTTATTTTTAGTCAAAATATTCAGGGACTTAAGAAAAAAAATCCCTGAAGTTTCCAGTTACCTTTTTTTGAACTTTCAGACATCTAAGAAGTTGTGCTTTGATATTCAATTAGCATTTTATTTTCATTTGAGATATATAGTTTAGGAAAATATGTGGTAAGTCTAATTTTAACTTGAATTACCCATCTTAATTAGTATGTTCATGAACAATAACAAGAATTTTTTGTATATTCTTTTGTTGATTTGTTTGAAACTTTTCAAATATGTTAGGTTTTTTTGAAATCATTAGTCTCTTATAAAGTTCATGAGGTAATATATGGTGTTAATGAATGTGTGAATTTAGCTGCATAAACAACAAATAACTGTTTGTTACTCATGACTTCATATTTTTTTGTTACATAGCTGTGGCAAATCTTCCATACTGTTTATAACTGCCAGAGGCATTTCAATGTATAGAAAGAGTGGGTGTATGCAGTGATAATCTTTCTCTAGAAGTCCTGATTCATTTTTATTACACCTCTGAGGTACAGTTAAATTTATTTAAAAACACATTTATAGCCAAGCCTTTTTGAAATACAAATGATTCTACAAATAGTATGTAAAGAGTGTAGAGAAGATCCATGCTTCTGTTCATCAGTCAGATTCCTTTCTCCCTGAGCACAAAAGATCCTGTTGCCTTTCTGTTCTTGGAAAATTAGTGATGCTCCTAATCCTTGTTATTTAACTAAACAACTGGAATAAACTACTGCATGTATTCTCGTTGAAAACCACCTGCTAAGGGTATTGTAAATTTTATTAACCTAATTGGTGATTTTCAGTTGTGTAGAAAAATTTTAGTAAACAGGTTTTAAAATGAAATATTGTTAGTATTTTATATGTCAATAAATTATGTCTCCTTTATCACTCACTGCATAGGACAAAATATAGAATTATTTGAGGTTTGTGGGATTCTTTGAAGTGGACATGAATTGAACTTGTGATAATAGTTCTCTGATTTATCATTTTCTACAAAGGTTCAATTTCATTGGGCAGAAAGTTAGGAGAAATTGTCAATTATTTGTGTCCCATATTCACGTTTCTAAAGAAGGGTCTTAATCATGATTTTTGAGCTCCAAGTCTGTTGTCATTTTAGTTTGAAATATGGACTAGAACAGATTTTCTGTTTTCTCTTTACATATTTGATTATTCACAGTAGTTCAGAAAACTCTCATTCAGGTTAAATTACACAAACAATCCGCTTTTGGTAGAATACAACTTGATTTCTTTGTTTTTCACCTTTTTACACACTAGACAATGGAATGGGGTATTAAATTTGGCATCCCCTTTTCAGCGTATTGTTTGGAGTCTTTGGTACCAATGTTCTATTTTTATAATTATCATGTTGTTATTATCCATGGTGAATACATGTATAACTTGTCTATTTTGTACTCTTTTTAGTGTCCCACCTATGACTGAGTACAGTTCCACTGAATGCCGTGTTGTATTCTATTAATGATATTAACATAATGGCAGTTATTTCAGTAGTACCATCTTATAGGCAAACAAATATTAATTGACAAGTGAAAGTTCCAAGAGTGCAAAAATGGTATATGTTTTGTCCACCGATGCATCCTTGGTGCCTAGAAGAGTGCCTGGTACATAGTAGATGCTCACTAAATTTTGCTAAATGAATGAATGTAAGAAGCAAGTAATAGAAGAGAACAGGCCTTATCTTACCTTCAGTATTCTAAGTATCTTTACCAATTATGTGTACATTTATTTGGGGACTCGTGTGTGCATTATTTTGTTATTCAGTATGCTTCAGTAGGTGGAAGTGTGAATATTGTTGGTAAAGAGTGGTCTTCTTTCTGCAGACCACTTGAGCGAAAGGATATATGGTCACTGTAGCATTTTCCAATGTGCAACCTTTAGTTTAAGAGTAGACAACTTTTTTTTCTCCAGCCAATCTAATATTTTTAAAAAATTATATCCAAAGGTGATGTCATTCAGCTCCATGTTTTTAGAATCGTACTTTTAACTTTACATAGTTTAGTGTATTAGTATCATAATTTTTATTTTAAATGTTTCATTTTTGTATTTTTTTGTATGTGAAGATGCTACAGGTAAATGATGTATAGTCTGCCTAAATCAAATTAGACTATATGTAATTCTCTTCATTGAAGACTTAAGCTTACTTTATACTCATTCTCTGTTGTAATTAAAATAAATTGGCATTTAATGGTTATATTATATCCAATTTGTGATATTTTAGATTGTAATTTAAATGCAGAAATGTTCTTAAGTTAATTGTTCCCAATTTTCACATAATGTTCCTCAGCTTGTGCATTTTTTTAAAATCCCATCTAAAGTGTATAAAAAGCTTTTGCCATTTATTTTATACACTTTTAACAATCTAGCAAATAATTGTTTCATTGTTTTTGCTGGTTTTAGCTACTGAAATATATTGAGCTCAAAGCAAAACCTTGTGTTATACTCACTCTCCCTTGACTTTGCTGTATTATAAATATAAGTTATGACAAAAATAAGACTTGTCAAAATGCATATCATCAGTGTACTGAACTTAAAATGAATCCTAATGGATAATAATCCACCTGGGAAAAAATGCCAAATGTTACATTTAGATGTTAATTGGGGAATGCAATATGTATTTTTTTTTAATTTGTCAATCAGTATTTCCCTTTGGGAAAAATAGGAGCTTTTCATCTTCCTTAATCTGTCCTGATTAATATAGATTAAATGCAAAGGTTGAAAGATGCAATTATCTTCGTTTCACCCCTACAGGAATTTGTTAGTTCATTAGTAGAATAATCAGCTTTTAAAGATAAAGGTTAAAAGTTCCTATGGTATTTTATGGGCTTTTAAAATCACAAGTGTAAACAAATATTTTATAAGATATTTTATAAAAGAATAAAAGAAATAGTAATAGTATAGTTCTAAATTACTTAATGTTAAAGGTATTGAATTGTAGTGTCAAAATACATTTTATTAAAAACAAACCCAAGGGAAAAATATGTCTTTAGCATTCACTTCCAAGTGGTGCGTGGAGTGTTTGTCTTTAGATTATACTGAACTTCCAAGTTTCTCTTATAATAAAATTTATCCTTTTTTATACTATGTTTTAGGCCCAAATGTGTGATTTACAATTTCATCACTGTGTCAGAACTTGAAGGTTAATTTCTGGCATGTAGAATACAGATTGTAATCCCCAGCTAAATCTCAAAAGTCTTATCTGGGAGGTCCTAAGCCCATTTCCAGTTCCACAGTGAGTTCCTAGGAGTGCTACCCTTGTATGTCTGCTGGTGCGTCCTCACTGGAACAGTTATGGCCGCAGCAGAGCCACCTCCATTCTTCAGGCCTTTTACCTTTACTTGACCTCCTTCTGCTCTTCCAAAGTGATCTCCAGGCTTTTGGCAAGGAGTAAAAGTTCCTTCTCCTGTGAACAAGGGGTAGGGAACAAAATATAGCTTTGATATTGTAAAAGTAATAGTCACCAGAATACCCACTCTTGTGAAATTTTTCAACCAACTAATGATTATTACACACACACACACACACACACACACACACATTATATACACATATATAAATATATATGTACAAATATTGTACTCATGTACATATATAGTAAAATAAGCTCAGATTTTTAAAAAAGTAGTATAGAAATAAAGAATCTTTAAAAATATAAAACCATATAATAGGAACAGTTTGCAGAACAGTCCAGATGATTTGACGGGTTTAGCCATTTCAGAGGACCATGTAGCTAATCCAATAAAAGCTTTTTTTTTCTAAATTATTCATTTGGGACTTGACCAATATCATTTAGGCTTCTGTGTATTTTAAGCCAACTTGTAACTATCTCACTATTTCTGTGAAAAGTTTTCTTAGTTAAGAATGGCGTGATTAACTTTTATATATGTAAACATACCTCTGGATTCAAAATATTTTATATTGAACTTTAATATTTGCTAGTTTTCAGTTTTATAAAAAGCAATTTATGATAAAATCCTTCAAATATTTTATTATTGGATTTGCTTTTTCAAATTCTTTTATAAATTTTCTTGTCTACAAGATAATTTTCTTGATCACAAGGAATTAGTTAACTCATTTTTAGACATTTTTATATACTTTTAAGTAATTAAACATTAAAAGAAGACTAGTGAATAGCTCAGGCAGTTCGCAGAAAATTTCCATTTGTATCTAGTTAATTAAACATTATTTTCATTTGCCTTGTATCTTATTAAAAGTATTTTACATCAGATCTATTTTAATTATATACATTTGGTTATAAAGTTCATGTTATAAAATTGATTTTTTTTTCATTAGCCAAGGAAGAAATGTTTAATTTTTATTCATTATTTTGTAAGAAATCATGCTATTTGGACTTCGACAATATACATTGCGATATTAGGATACATAGATATATAAAAAACATATCTTTAGAATTTTTAACATATACATATGTGGGTTTCATGCTTGTGGATGTGGGTACTTCATTAGTTCAAATATAAAATATTACTGTTTTTCAAAAAATTTTAACAGTTTTCATATGTTTGCCTTTCTGGGGATTTTGTTTCTTAGTGTTTCCTTCATATGCCTTGATCTCAAGGAATTGACTTTCTCAAAGAATATTGCTATATTCTATGATTCGATGTTCTTAATCTATTAACAATACGAGTAGGAGACTCTATCTCGAATATAAACAGGAGCCAGCCCTCGTGTGCAGTATGGTGCACTGGAGAAGCTCTAACTCTGTTCAAGTGAGGAAACGATGCTTTCCCATCCCAGTCTTGGTACCGAGTGAGGCACATGCATGAAATATGTGAGGCAGTTTGATCCCCACGTTTTGTGTGTGATCTCTGTCAGTTGCATTTATAATCAACAAAGTCTTAACATTTAAAAGCAAACACTGAAGAGACATCCTGACCCACTGTTGCAGCCAGCATACTAGTCTGAGCCTTAAAAACTTGATTTTCCAGTCAGTTTACCTCTTCTCTTTTACAGTAAATGAATTTGTCATTCTGTGTCCTTTAGAATACCTAGAAATCATGTTTGAGTGCCTCTGGAAACTTGTTAACTCACAGGTTACAGATGATTCATAGCAAAAGAATTCTTTTGACTGTAATTTATTTTGTCATTATAAAAATGAATATTTATTTTGTATACTCTTTTAAAAATCGTGTAGGGTAAAGTTGTATACGTTATCGAGGCAATAAGCATGTTTAAATGTACATATTCATATGCATATGTGGTTCATAGAATTGCAGTCTCCCTAACCAGAATATGAATTTTATTTTTAAAAGTATTCTGCTCTGTCTTGTAAGTTTAGTGGCCATATTTTCTAAGCCAATATCAGTATGGATTTAATGTAGGAATATTTAAAATTATAATGGTTTTAGAAACTTCAGTTATCACAGCTAAAGGCAATAACCCTGAAAATATTTTTAATGAATTTTCATAAGAGTCTGAAAGTTCAGGTTCTGAGTTTGATCACAAATCTTAAAATATGTAAGCAAAATGGAGAAATGCTTTAATTTATTTGAGTATCCGTATTATCTTTTTTAGGATAAGATTGTAAATTCCTAGAGGACAGGGCTGAGATCACATTCAATTTTGCATCACTAGGTGCGGAGCACATTACCTGGCTCATAGTTCATGCTTAATAAAAGAACTGATATGTGGGATATAAAACTGAAAGCAACAAGGGAACAAGACAAACAAAGAAACAAAAACTCATAGACACAGATAATAGTTCAGAAGTTACCAGAGGGTAGGGGCGGAGGGAGGTGGTAGATGAGGGTAAAAGGGATCAAACATATGGTGATGAAAGGAGAACTGATGCTGGGTGGTGAACACACAATGTGATATATAGATAATGTATTACAGAATTGTACACCTGAAACCTATGTAACTTTACTAATAATTGTCACCCCAATAAACTAATTTAAATATATATATGTGTGTGTGTGTGTGTGTGTGTGTGTGTATATAATTCTTTGGCTTCTATAACTTACATTTAACTTGAATTGCATGTAAAATGTCAACCCTTTATCACAACTCTTATGTATGGCATGGAAATTTTGTTAAAACAAGTAATGTGAAATATTTGCTGCTTTTGTGAAAATAACTAGTATGTGAGTAATCAGGAAATGTGTGTTGGAAACCAGACTGAAGCAGAGATAATATGTGACCTTAAAGGTCATTTTTATCTATTTTAGCTCTCCTTTTGTAAATAAATAAATGAACAAATTAATAATTTAATTTTGCTAGTTTTAAGACTCAGCAATATATACCTAGGTTAGATTTTCTAAAAATTTATTGTTCATTCAGTACTTTAAAGGTTATTTTTTTAAAGTATGCACAGAACAACATAAAACTTTAAAATGTGAACTATAGGCTGAGAAAATACTGCTTTACCAACTACAGTTGTAGTGTGTCTTCCAAAATTATTTTTAAAAAACATAGCTTTGAGATAGAAAACTTCAAATGATTATAATAAACGATGTCTTTTCATTACATATAATTTTTGTTTTTTAACCTATGTCTAGTGAGTTTCTTTCCTTCTGAGAAAGAAATGACTGACTCTTCTTTTTGCAGAATTTATCCCAGTAATTAATATCATTATTATATTATCCTGTGTAAGTAAATTAGAATTTTATGAAAATGACTAGAACCTTAACATAAAAACTCATACAAGGAAACCTGCTGTTCATGTGTTATAACAAGCCAACACAAAAGACATATTATAAAATTGATTATATCATGCTGCCAGGTGTGGTAAATTGTTCTGTAACAATTATAAATTATTTTTATGACCCGTTAATGGGATTATTTGATTCCCTGAAGAGGTTTATGTCTCCAAAATAGCAATCAATACAGGGAAAATTATTTTGTCTCTAAATGTGTTTGAAAGTATGTAGTAATGGAAATGGTCTGAGGTCATAAGGGATGTGCAGTTGTTTGTTTCTGAGCGTTTTCAAAGTCAGATTATACTGGTCTCTCAATTATAACAGCTTCCCCTGTTACAAGGCTTGATTAAGATCTTTGAAGTATTTCTGTATATTGTAGTTGCAGATATTATATTTTGTCTTGTAGACATTCTGGTCAATTATATGGTTTCTCTGTGTTTACTCTGTCTTATTACACTAGCTCCAGTGGCTGTTGGACAATTATGAGACAGCAGAAGGAGTGAGCCTTCCTCGAAGCACTCTCTACAATCACTACCTGCGACACTGTCAGGAACACAAGCTGGACCCAGTCAATGCTGCTTCTTTTGGAAAACTAATAAGGTCAATTTTTATGGGGCTACGAACCAGGAGATTAGGAACTAGGTTAGTACTGAAAACTAAGATCATAAATTAATCTCTATTTTGCAAACTAAATCAGTTCAGTATATTGTTTGAGCCAAAATACTTGATTACAGATTACATAAAGAACAAATACAAAATTAGCTCAGTTTATAAGATCCCTCAGGAAAGAGAAAGGTCATTATTCACTGAGTACCACCAAACCAGAATGATGCTATGTCCTGGACATCAACTGAGCAAAGCTTTGAGAAGAGCTGATTCTCAGATCACATAGGCATGAGCAGACCAACTTGTTAATGCAAGATTTACATATGATGTTTTAAAAATATGTATCACTATCTTCTCTTTTTGAAAATAACTACACTAAAGACGTTGAGTAAAGTAACATAGTCAATGGAAAACTACATATCTTGATTCTTCCAAAATTAAATTGATATGTCTGTTCAATTTGAATGGAATAAGAAATGAAAACTGAGGTTTTTTCATTTCATTTCATTTCATTTCAAATCATTTGGTGAACTTGAAAAAATATGGGTGTTTTCAACAATTGTATGGTCCCATTTACCTCTTTTTAAACTTGTCATTATGAAATCCTACATGTATAGAAGTAAAAATATAGTACAGTTTCATTGCATGGAAGCCAATAAGGTGAAGAAAACTCTTAGTTTCTATGTTTATTTCCTTTTGAAATAGATAATAAGTTTTTACTAGTCAAAATATGATGAAAATAGTACTTAGAACTGTGTAACTTCATTTTTACTTTTCTATAATTTTTACAAATTATAAAAACATAAATATTTTATATAGCTGACAGAAAGATATGGATGCTTTTGATTTCCTAAATCTTACAGAAATCCATATCAAAAAGTCTAAAAATGTAGATGCTATAGTTATTGACATTAGGTGGTATACCTTTAATTAGTTGTAAGTCACAGGTTCATAGTATTCTAGTAAATGGTTTTTAATATTCTTAACAAAATAAACAGAGCCTTAGTAATTGACCTCATTGTTTATAATTTATGCTGAAAAGAAGAGTATGTCAGTTTTATGAGATTTACAAGGTCTGTATCTTTTCAAAGTGTGAATTATTTCATTCTGTTGCATTTCAAATGATTATATAGCTTTCAGATTGCTGGAGGTTTAGTTCTCTCATGAATGTAATTTTTTCTACCTATTAGCTTTCAATCCCTTGAAAAAAAAAAGTTTTCTGTTTTCTGGAGTACTTTTTTACCCCCAGAACCACGAAAATCATTATTTGGGGCCTAACCTGCTGTCTCCTAGCTGATGGCTCAGTAGTTATGTATACCTTGCCAATATTTTGAAACTCTGGGCTTTATTCAACATTCTAATAGCTGTATTATTGTGCTGCTTTTGTTAATAAAAGGGATTTCAATGGCTCCTATTTTTACGCTCCATTCAAACCTTGAAACAGGTCTTTAAAATAGAAAACACAAAATTGGGGTTGTTTGGGTCTGTGAATGAGTAGAATCCATGCTCTGTAAGTACATATCGCAGTACCGCAGGTTTTACTTTCCGGTGTTCTTCTTTCCCCTCCCCCTCACTGTATAACAATTATGTTTTAAAATCGTACACAGCGTTTGTAATTAGGGATGGAAAGCAAAGCCTAGACGAATGAGGAGAAAAGAGATCCTGTGGGGAAGGTTTAAACAACAACTGCTATGTTATGAAGATAGCAGAGCTCCAATATAGAAAAATGGCCTATGGTAGGGGTCGAAGTACCACCGCAGAGTCTTTGTACCATGAAAACTATATTAGCATTCACTTTCTAACCCAGGGAACAGAAAGAAAATCAGTATAAATCATGAGACAATTTAACTCAGATGCTTTTTTTAAAAAAAAGTAAACTATAAGCAGGACTGTTATTTATCCATTAGTAAAATTAGCTGGTGAAGTCATTCAAACCAGAACCAGACCTTTTCTCAAGTTTTGGAATTAAGTAAAAAGTAAATAAAATCACCGTGTTTCTAAGCAAAGGCAAATCAATGGTAGATCCCATTTTCAAGTTAAGTGTAATCAAAGACCATGGGACATGCTGATCTCCCTCATTGCCTATGGACTAGAAAGAACCACCTCTCCACCAACCCAACCAAAATGCTGATTGTAAGAAACTGAAAAGAAACTAGACACTCCATCTGTTTTGTGGTCTCACAAGAGAGATACCCTTTTACTCTGGCTTTGTCATTTGGCTATGTCCCCTGGCTTCCCACCCCTGCCAGTACTCCATATCGTTCTCCACTTTGTACCAGAGAACACTAGTAATCAGGTTTGTGTTATTATTTGGTTTTGTTTTTTGCTCTACACGTATTCTGCAGTGGATTTTAGAGACAAGATCTAATATCTGCAAGTGGAAAGCCTTTCTTTAGAGGCAGTAGGATTTCATACTGGTTTATTTTGCTGAAACTGTGTAGGTATTCAGATGCCCTACATTTTTTTTAAACTAGCAATATTATTTATATAACAAAATTTTAATGTCTTTTCAAATTATAGTGTTCACCTACTATATGTTCTTTAATCTTGGAAGTAAAATTCTGTTCTACTTTATATACAATATTTAATCTACAGTCCCCTTACATTTCTTTTTGTAAATGAAAGAAAAAATTGAAAAGAGCACTGATGTCTTGCTGTATATAAACTTGTGAAAACTATTTTCTCTTTGTAAAAATTTACATATTTAAAATTATTTTTGCAAGAATTACAAATTTCATTGAGCAAAATTTGTCATTTCTAATAGCAAACATGGTCTTTCTCACGAACATGGGGAAATTGTGACATTTTTATTCCAGTTGGAAATTAGCCATTTTCACAGAGAAATTTCCTCATGTATGTTGTGACACATCTTATTCAGTCTACAAACTAATATGAATCCAAAAGAACAGACTAATAAAAATGTTTCAAAATGTGCAGAGTTAATGCATGCTTCTTTTTAGATTTCAAAATATTAAATGTAACAGACTTCACCACAACATCTTGTATCAATGAAGTTACCTTCATTATCCCTGTACTAATAGAACTTCAAAAATGTAGAACTTAACGCCTAGCTAAGACATAAGAATTAAGAAATTTTTTCTTTTGTTTCTGTGTAACCTTTTTATAGTAAATTCTTATTTAGTGTGCAACCCTTTATGCTGTTAATGAATTTTTGTTGGCCAGCATTTTTCCCATCCACTAACCCTTCTAAGTTAAATTTAAAATATAAATTTGAAAATAAAATGTAACTTAAATGGAATAAGTTGACTATTTGACTAATATTTAAGAGAATGTTTATAAGGAGAAATGTTTCTTAGGGCCTTGAGCTGATTGATTCATAATGATGTTTTGATTTTTCAAATGTGGCCCCTATAAAAATGTGTAAGTATCCAGAACGTATAATCATAAATATATACATCAATATGTTGCTTTTATATATATATATATATTTCCAAAAGTGAAGTTACATGAACGCCCTATGTGATGAATATTGGTTTGACTGACTTTTTGTGTTTCTAATGTTTGTTATTCTTTTATGAAGAGGAAACTCAAAGTACCATTATTACGGGATTCGTGTCAAGCCAGATTCCCCTCTTAATCGCCTGCAAGAAGACATGCAGTATATGGCTATGAGGCAACAACCCATGCAACAAAAACAAAGGTAGACTCTGAAATTACCATTGACGTGTCAAGGCTATGTATTTCTTTAGATGTTTGGTCTCCTTTTTTTCTGAACAAATATAACAAATACCTAAGTGTGCAAGAATATCACTATTGTTGGCATGCTTTCACTACAGACAGTTCTCAAATATAATTTAGAATTTCATTCATCCTGTCTAATTTCCAAATATTTTAAAATTACTTATCTGTCAGCCTGTTTGGCCCCTTTTCAGTTAAATGTGACATCCCTAACTAAACGCAAAACATGAAGAGCAAATACCAACTGTTTCATGAGTTTCTTATTTGCTTTTCTGCACATCCCTCAAGTCATTCTTTCTGACACTAAATTCTTGCAGAATATTTGGGACTTCTTACATTTTCTGTGAATCCAACTTCTGTATCTGTAGATTGTAGATATTAGAGCCGTAAGAGATCTCAAGCATTCATGGATGGATGGATGATGGATGCATGGATGGATGGATGGATGGATGGATGGATGAATAGATGGATGAATAGATGGATGAATAGATGGATGAATAGAATCATAGATCTTAGAATTGAAAAGTACCTCAATGTAGTCTGGCCCAGTAGCCTTGTGACCATCAAGGCATTAATAGTCCTGTTTTTCAGTTACATCCCAGAGAGGTTAAATTATTTGCATAACCCATAATGCTGTTACATAGCCAAGGGCCTCATAGTCTCCTGTGATTTATATCACAGTTAGGAGTAAATAAAATGAAAGCTGTCTCCCTCTTTACCAGTATAGCTCCGTCATGGCAGTAGTTAGTTTTCTTTTTAATTGAGCAATGGAATTAGGTAGGAAAAAGGAAGCCTACCTATCGGTAATCAGATCATCTGCATCATCTGCCTCACCCATTGATCTGGGAAAGTCACCTTGGCCAGATCTCCTCCACATCCCTACTACCTTAGTCAGAAGTATTAACTTTCAGTCACTGCTGGAGAAAGAAGATATCACTCAATACTCCTTTATCTATTTAGTTAGTAAGTACTAAGTGAGTCTCTGCTATGTACTAGGCCCTGCATTCAGAGATAAGACAGTCCCTCCCTATGAAGAGTTAAGAAATTATAAAGAGAGGCACATGGGATTTTCTTTTTTAAGTAATACAATGTGAGAAGTGCTAAAATAAGGCTTTGATCAAGGACCTATTTAAATAAAGAGGAATTTTCATCACACTCTGGGAGAGGGAGAATTGGGAAGTTTCATAGAGAAAGTGCTATTTAAGTAGGGACCTAGATCAGAAAGAGAGGACTATTCAGGCAGAGGGAGTAAAGTAAACAATCAAGAGGGGTCAAGTTCTTGATGCCTTTGGTAAATGCTCTGATTTGGTGAGGTCGGTATTGCAGGAGGGAAATTGGGAAGTTGAGTGGTTTAGTGGCAGATGAGATTTTAAAAGTAGTTATCCTGGATCACAGAGTAAGGGATCTGGTTGTATATGAGGCTAATAAGTTTGATCTTTCTGCAGAACATAACTTGGAAGCTGTGTGAAGAGGCTTTGAAGCAAAACAATGAAACTTTCAGATTTTTTTCTAGAGAGATGACTTTTTGGTTTGGGGCAAGACATATTTAATGAGAAGAGGCAAGAGGTAAAGAAACCTGTTAAGTGGCTTTAACACAGTCTTAATTTCTAGTGCAAGTGTCTTAGACTGAGAAGTCAGGTCAAGGTTACATTAGGTAATAAAGGTATCCTAAGGGTTTTAGATATTTAATTCACAGATTCTCAGCCTTATTTTTTATATTGCGGATCCCTATATTTTGAGATATAGCCTGTGAAATATATTAAGAAGGTCTCTGAAAAAAATAAAATGAATTATAGGACAGTCCCTTATATGGTTGGAGACAGAGATTGTGTGAGTTGCAGTAAACTGTTATTGTCTTTGGTTATGATTATTTTTTTCGCCTGTTAGTGGCAACGGTTAGAGCTTTTACTTTATGGTGTGGTCTCTGCTCTCATGCATAGCAAAACTACACAGTGGAGATGATGGTGAGATCAAGAGAAAGAAAAGTTTGATTAAAAAATAAAACAGACTCAAACTTAAATATGAACAAAAAACTTGGTGAATTATACCTAAGACAGCTGAAGCCTACTTCTTCCTGTGATATAACTGCTAAGAATCCTAGCAAGTTTTAATGGAAATGGAGGCCTTCAGGGACATTCTTTTATTTTAAAAGCTGGGGTAGGTAAGCAAGACCTAGGACTTACATAGGTCTCCTTATGAAAAGAATCCGGAACTATAAAGGTTAACAAACCACGAAAACACTGCAATCTCAGTTTAGTAGTAATTGCTTTTAGAATGAGATAGAATATGGATGTATTTAAGAAGTGATAAAATTCTCAGTAGCATCAAGAAATTGTGCCAACTTTAGTTAGTGTGTGCTTCCTCATGAAATAAGAATGTTAGAGAACCAAAGAAGTACTGAAATTTCCTTTAATTTGTTGGGTTTTTTTAATTAAAAAAATTTTAGATTATGGACGTTTGCTCTTGGAACAGTGTCTTGCCAACTGATTGCAATGTTAGTGTGATTAAGTTCAAGGACCTGGTTGGGACAAGCAGGCCAGAGGGCGGTTTCTGCTTTCTCTCTGAAGGGTTCTGTCAACTGTCGGCATCAATAGGCCTTCAGTGAAGCCAATGCCCCGTTCATTGTGCAGAAACACTTGGATAGGAGAGGAAGAGTTCTCTCCCTAAGTCTGGATGTAACAGATAAGAGTAGTTGTTGAAACAATGGAAAAAGAACTATTATTTCATTTGTTTTTTGGCTTATAAAATAAGATGCTTCCGAAACTCAAATGATCCTATTGACTATATTAAAATTCACATAAGAAGAGGCAGCTATTCTCTTGTTAAAATGCAAGCAGCATGTGAAAGGTTTAAAATATAGCAGGTACTAGTATTTCATATGTTAGAATATTCAAATTGTTTAAATGCCTCTGGGTTTATTGTATGCACTTATATGTGCACATCTTCCATGGTATAAATGTACATGTTTCACTTGTTCTTACAGTAAGAAAATTTAAGCATATGCAGTGATTATTTTATCAAATAAAAGTGAAGCTTTAGAGCTCAGTTTGTACCCTTTTCTTTGTTAAGTTTGGAATCATACTAGTTATAGTGGTAATAATGAATACTGTTTTGTACAGCTTTATAATGTTTAGAGCTCTTTTATATACGGTATCTCACTTGAAGAGTTGATAGAGTAGTAAAGGAAATTTCCACTTATCTACCAATTAGATTTCCAGCACCACTGCCATGCGGAACATAGCCATGAGTCTGGAAATAAATGGAAACAGCTTCTGATTGAAAAACAGATGTCACGGAGCTAGTAGTTTAGCTTAATTGAAAAGATGAAGCCATCCTCAAGCCATTTACCTAAAATAAAGGAGCAGATTAGAGCCCACTTGATTCACAGGAAATCATGAGCTATAACAGCTGGCAAGAGGAAATACAAGCAGACAAGGGTCTTCTATTTGCTTTGGGTTATTCAGCACAGCCGTCTGCACACATTCAGTGGGGGGACAAGTCTATTTAGGCACTCTAGTGGGCCCTTTGAATATCACTCCAGTAACTAGAATCTAGTCTAACACTGTAATAACTGTTTGGCATATTGCTGACATTATAGGTAATCAACAAGAGGTTAAGCACCCTGGTTAAGGAAGCAGGAGAATGTGTAATAGTTGTTTTCTTAGTATCTTCTGTTGAACATATTTCATATGAAAATAACTTCGGCAAGTAAATGAGGAAATCTTCAGTTTTCAAGAAAATTCCCTCATGAACCAATTTGTTTACCATAATTTAGACAATAAATAAATCAGGTTATTATAGAACAAAATGAAGATCAGTAATTTTGAGCTCTACAAACTAAGTAAAAATGTTTGCTGCATTTTTTTTTAATATTTAAAAGAAACACTTAGAGAGTGTTGGTACATATATTTTAGTTATTCTTCCAAATCCTAGTAGCAGAAGTGGTAGGATAGAGCCAAGAGCTTTTGATAATGTGCTTGTGTTCAACCCCAATAGCCATTCTCAAAATATTAAACTGCATTTATCATTCCTTCAACAAATACTTAACCAACAGTTCCATACAGCGTATGTCCATCACATCTAAAGGAGATATCACAGAATCATAGACTATTAGAGGTGGGAGGCAGAGATCTCCTCCTCCCGCGCAGCCTCTTGATGAGAAAACTGAAATCTATAAAGGGTAGATAACTTACCCACAATCACGTTGTGATCAGAACTAGAACCCAGTCCTCTGCTCTCTATTATAAGAATTCTACCTTTTAAGAGATAAGATAACCTGAACAGAAAAATACACATGAAATAAAAATTTTGCATATGAAATTAAGGGAAAACCCCATTATATTAAGTATGTCCTAAATAAGTGAGGAGATGGGCCACTTTCTGCCTCTGAATGGTCCCGTCACAGGAATTGGATTCTGTGAAAGAGGAACCTTTGTGGTGATGTGTAGGACATTTCTTGTGCCGGGGTCGTGGTTTCCTGAATCTGAAGACTGGAGACACAGACCAGAGAGGTAGAGTTTGTGGCAGAGGATAGTTTTATTAAAGCAAGAGAAAGGTTACAGGTCCTGAGCGGGGAGGGGGTACCTGGAAAATAGATGCCCACTAGCTAGGGTAAAAGACTTGAGTTTTTATACTTTTTTTCTGCCTGGAAGTGGGGAAGGCTGCAATATGGGTGCCTGTTATTAAGGTGTTTATGAGGCTTGTTCTGTTGCTCAGCCTTGGGGAGGCCTTTCGTACTGTCCTCCAAAATGGCTTTGTTGCTCTGGGGCATGATTGATGTCTTCGTTCCAGTATGAGGGAGTTACCCTATCATTTTGAAAGAAATGGCTAGTTTAAGGAATGACCAGGTTTTTTTTATCTTATCTTTGCTCAGTCCACCAGGGAATTCCTAACTGCCTGATATTATACTAACTAACCTGTCTTAGTGGCACTGAGGTGAGAGAAATAGAGGCCACCTGGAAA